TACGAACCCGAAGCGTTAAATCTAGTATAGATGACAGAAGCGCTACAGTGTTAAGAAAATTAATTATATTGATACATAACCATGGACATCATTGATATTGCAAAGACACTTTTGATTTAAACACAGGAAAAACAGGTTTACCAATTAATCCTAAAGTCCATTTAGACCACGTGCTGCTTTGTGTGGTTTTTACTAGACACTAGTATGCACAGGCACGAATGGAATGCAGTCTTGATAATGTCTATAAGACATCAGTGTATACTGAATACATTTATCAATGTACTAAAGTCATACTGCCATCAATATTGAAATAAATTAAATATACATCAAAATCTGTTCTCCATTTTTCTACCTCTGTTGTCTCAGGCTTTCGATGCATTCATCTACATCTTCTTTGCATTGGAGATGGTAATAAAGATGGTGGCTCTTGGGATCTTTGGCCGTCGCTGTTACCTGGGTGACACCTGGAATAGGCTAGACTTCTTCATCGTAATGGCTGGGTAAGCAACTGTTTCATGTGTCAGCATTTTTCTTAAAAGCATGAAGTACAAGCAAGTAGGTCCATTTTTCCTGGATGCTGTCATTGTTCATTAGTTGAGTCATCATAGCATTGTGTTATAACATGTATTATAGATATAGTTGACTGCATAGGTGCAGTTGTTCCCTGAATAAGTGCTGTGCACTTTAAACTGTGTAGTGAAGGCTAGTTTTGGAGTGGCCGACAAATCCAACATTCATAAGGTAAATTTGGGATAAAAAGAGGAAAGAGTCCTTTTCCTCTTCTGTTTTTTGAAAATATATTTAAAAAAATCAATTCAATATAGAAGTCTCCTTCTATTTGAATCTTTAACGAGCATTGTGGTACATTCTTAATTAGCAGTGTTCTGTCTGGGCTTTGCTGCATATCTACACTGAGAGTGAGATTGTTTTAAGTTTCTGAGGGACACCACGTCGTTACGTAAGGAGATCCTGCAGTGCTCATCACTGTTACCATGGGAAACTAATGCACTCACACACACACACACACACAAAAAACAAACACATCTGCTGAAACACCTGCTACGACCGAAGTGAAATGAGACGCTCAGACATGGGTGATGAACAAGCCTGTGTGACGTGTGTATTGCTCACGTTGTGGATCTGTTTATGCCAAAGCTGGAAGGGGACTCGTCTCCCTGTTGGACAAAAAGAAGGTCATCGAAGAACTACATTGCCATAGCAGCATAGTGTCAATACTGTACTTTTCTTTCCTTTCTTTTGGTTTAAGGTCAGGGAAATGATACATGTTTCACGTTTAGAAGGAGACCTTATTTCCTCTGAGGTGTGTGGATGAGAGAGCGAGGGGGACATGGATAGGGAGAATGGCCTGTGTAATAGCCAGAAAACAAGAACAGAGCTGCCGACTTACCATGGAAGGTGGAGGGACATTCATCTTCATTTGAGCTGAATCAGTTTATCCCCGCTGGATGTATAGACTTTCTCTGTGTGAGTGCGTTTGTGTGTTTATCGAGCATTGCCTTCACCGGATTACAGTGTTTAGGCTCATGCCTTTAGAGTCCATTTGATAAGTGCGTGTCTGTGTTTGTATATGTAATTGGGTGAACACCTCACTTTTTGTTTTCCTTTTGGTAGAATACATTAGATAAGTGTCTAGGGTGGTTTCAAAGGCTTTTCAGCTTTTGCAGGTCAAAGCACATCTGACATTGTGTTATTTCTGCTCGTCTTTCTTTCTTTTTGATATGCTATCCCCTCTGCAGACCTAAAACAATCTGCAATCGAAACAATACTGCTGCAAATATCTGTTCTATTTCTTTCTTATGTGGGATTTCTGCTTTCATAATCCACGGAACATAACCATTTCTCACCATGCTTGGTTTCTCCTGTAAAGAAAATGTCTCTTTGAGTGTTACATTGAGATTTTTTATCAAGAGGCAATGCCTTGCCATACACATTCAGTCTAATTTGTCCCCAGGACAACTGGAAAAAAATGCAGCAGGTCAAATAAATTATTGAAGACTGCCCCGTTGCTTTTTTGACTGAACCAGAATGAGTTTCTGCATCTGTTTAAAAAATGAATCCATCCATGTACTATACCATTCATTCCTAGAGGGGTTGCAGGGTAGCTTGAGCATATGCCAGCCATCATTATGCAAGAGTCAGGTTTACTTTTTGGACAAGTCGCCAGTCCATCACAGGGTTGCTCAGAAATATCAGCAACAAAATCCCTTATGACCTGAAAACAACTCGAGGACCTGTTCTATTGCCTTAGAATGGCTGTGTAAATGAGAAAAGCTTTCAGCTGAGCAAATCTCAAAACGGTAATGGCTGGAGACAAGAATAGCACTTCTTAATTCAAGGAGGTATTGTGATGAGGACATGTATAATAGCAGAAGGAAAACTGCAGCCCACTCAAAATTATAGCACTTACAGTGTAATAACTGATGATCTTTCTTATCAGGACAATAAGTCATACAGTTTCACCTTTTTCCTTTATTTGGAATGTAAAATATCTCTTGCTGAAAAGAAGAAACTTCAAAGTAAACAACTATTGTTGGACTTTTGCTTCTTTTTTTATATTTGAATACAGTTGTCAGATTTTTTAGAACTTAATATACAACCATAATTTCAAAAAAATGAAAAAATTGCAATGCTAAACTAAACACAAAATAAAAAGAATTTAAAATGCCCAAAAAGCAGTATTTCCCCCCAAAAAGGACATTCAAATCATATGACAATTTGACAAATGAGAAATATTATGACGTCATTAAAAATGTAAATTTAACCAGTCAAAAAAGATTTAATTCCATCCACAGATATGCCTCCTTATGCCTCTTCACTTTTTTCCAGAACATGCCTGACATCAATGATTGATCCACGATTTCTAAAAGGAATTTTCATTATTCATTATTCTATAAGAATTTTTCAACCACTTAACAGTTTACCGTGAACCTCGGTTTAAATTGAATAGCTTTGCCGTGGAGAAGAGTGAGTTTACATTTGCATGATAAACTTTAAACAGCGTTTCCATGACAGAACCATGTCTGTTTTCATGAAATTCAGCCAGAGTTCATCACTGGTGTCATATTTATTGATGGGGGAAAAAATAAACATCTACAAAGTAAAGACACAGAATTTAGCTTTCATTGATAAGTTTGATGTAGACCGACCCAGTTTGACTTCAAGACATATTTGGCTTTTTTGTCAGGATCCCATGTAGCCATCACCAGCAAAAAACGGTTCTAAAAGTTCTATAAACTCTGCTAAATGACACCGTGTGCATATTTTTCAGATGTCAGAGGCTTTGACAGAATGGCAGCATTTGATTCCGTCTGAGCAGGAACAGTTTATGAAGGCATATTACAAATTTGACAGTTAAGTCACAACAGATTTAACTTTAAAGACCAAGTCACTTTCTATTCCTCTGATATTAAAGGTGACTCTGAATTTTTGTCATTTGGTCAACCCTGAAGTTCTGGAACTTTTTTCCCTTGAACTTTCACAACATGTACAAACTCACACAATGATGGGCACTAGTCACGTAAATACAGAAAAGTGAATGAGAATCAGGTGTAATGAGCAAAAAAGGAAAGAAATGCGAACAAAGAACTTCAAAGAATGCTTGCTGCGGTACACTAATTACCTTCCCAAACACAGCACCACGATTGATGTACACAGGAAGAGACACCTCATGTTTCTGCATAAGCATACATTCATGACCATGCTCCTAGGGCCACATTTCTGGACCTGTAATACATGTGTTTGTATATCATTTTTGGTGTACCTTAACCAATAACATAACAAGTCACATGAAAAATCAAATGATCAATTTGCCTCAAAGCTTCATTGTTTTTTGACATTTTAATTCTTTTCGTCTCCCAGCAACCTGCATCCAATCATTAGAACTGGCACAAGTACCGTTGTTTTTCAGGCAGGTGGTAAAAAGACCACTATGCCCAGTCTGGCTCCGTAACTGTTGTGCTCCTCCCTGTACTCTGACATTTTCATCCAACTGCCGTGTGGCATTTCTGCTCTTTCGACTGAAATTGGGAGAAAGACAAATGGTCTGTGGTGTTCCTCTACATCACTGCTAAGATGGATTCTCTCTGCCATGGGACATATGAGCTTTGAGGGACAAAAGAAATAAGACCACCCGTGCAAGTAGTGAAGCGTTTCGCCTCCGAGTTTGATCCTGGTTTGAAATACTTTCCGGCTATATGAGTACATTGCAAGCGGTTCAAGCCGCTGCGTGTGGGCTGCAGAGCTGTTCAGCCTCTTGTTGCAGCAACTAATCCCACTTAAGAGAGTGCTGAGGTGCTACTCTATTGATGATTGTGCTACTTGTGAGGGCAAATGGGAAAGAGCTTCCCCCTGGGATCAATAAAGCATTACATAATTGTAAATGACATGGTTCATAAGTATCTCTGTGACGGACAGCGAGCACGGCTTGCCTTGTTGAGGCCAGCAGATGAGCTTTTGGTGTTGTTATCAGTGGCGCAGCTATTGGTATCATGCTGTCCCAACAACATGCTGTGGCCCCGGGCATACGAAGTGTGTGCGCGCACGCATGCACAACCACACTTAGCACACTTAGTGCTATTACTCACCGCAGCAGTTTACGCATATCTACACGCACAAAATGAATGCGCATTTAATGTGCCGTTCATTCCACATACACCGGGAAACTTCCCTCACTCTCTGTCTTAATGACTGCAGTCACACACCGTAGTAGTGTGTGGCAGCCCTAAAACAGACACACTGCCGTCACACACACACACACACACACATACGCACATGGTGAACCATGACTGCTCTCCTCTGAAAGTGGTTTAAGTTCGGGGGCACAAACAGCTTAGCCATGCTGTGGAAATGACTGCCGAACAGATGCCAGGCTCCGACTGAGACACAACATGCTGCAGGCAACACTTAGTATAGAATGAATCCCCATTTTTCTGCTTTTTCTCCTCCTTATGTATCTTTAGGTCATTCATCCCTCTGATGCTTTTGTCACTTTATCCCCTTTTATCTACAGTCTTGAACCTGCTTGTGCATTACTTTTCTGACAGTAATGTGACACTCCAGGCTCTTGGAGGACATAGTCCAAAAGTTAACACTCATTCTGAGTCATACACAGGGATTAATGTTGAGCTTGAGTCATGCTAATTCATTGCTGGGATATTTTTTAAAAGAGGTTGTTGAACAAAAGAAAGGATGATGTTGTCTTTAATGTTTTTTCTCCTTTTCAGGATGGTAGAGTACTCACTGGACCTACAAAACATCAACCTGTCAGCCATTCGGACAGTGCGTGTCCTTCGCCCACTGAAAGCCATCAACAGAGTGCCAAGTAAGAGCGACTTAAGGTTTTTGTGAAGTGATGAGTCCCATTCACTTTAAGTTACGTTCATTTGTCATGTGACCTTGCAGCCTATTTGATTCTGACATGTGCTTCTAGTCAGTCTTTTAGGTCCTTTCTGTCTGTCGGTACTTATAAACTGAAAATACATTTGCATGCAGATTCATGCAGATGCGTTAATTTGTATATTTCTGTCTTTTGTGTGATCCTCATGCCACCTACCACCAGCAGGCATCATTAAACTTTCATCTAATGTTTAATCACACAGTCAGTTCAAGCCCAAAGTCCCGACTTTATCAGATTTCCAAACCAGCCATTAATGCTGCTTCACTGATCAGTGTGTGACAAAAACCATGTTCCTCTCATCTACGTTGCAGTTCTTGGGGAGACTGTGCAAGGCTTATTGATTTCTTTTTGCCACTTCCCAAACTTCCAATCATTGTATCCAGCAATTAGCCTGACCAAGCAAGCTTCAAACTGGTGTCATTACTTTCTGACAGATGTTGAGCAGAGAATCAAATATTAGCAGGCAATTTAGGAGATTTGTAGGGGATTTCAGAATGTTTAAAAAGGCGCTCGTTAATGTATAATTTCTTAATGAAATTAGCCATCAGAAAACTTGGGTTCATTTGTTGTCAAGTCCCCAAAAAAACCTTAATGTCCCTCCCTCCATCAATCATAACCATGTACGTTCCAAAAGTAACAGAAACGGACCATGGAAAAGATTAGTTGGATGAGATTTAGACCTGCTTTTTCCATGATAAGCATTTTTGAACAAGTAATAGTTGTGAAATATGTTTCTGACAGTCTCACTGAGAGCAGAACCGATGAATGTTACTTTTTTCCAAGGAACTTGTCAGATTTTAACATTTTAAACAAGTCTAATACAACCGTAACACATATATTTGACTGATTTTCTTTCCTCTAAAAACAAGTAATTATTCCATCCGATAAAGTACAGCCCTTATAAGCAGCAGAATGAAAATACACCACTGTTAGCAGTTCCAGATTAGAAATGATGTCCTTTTTTAAAGGCTATCACAACAACTCAGGTAATAACGAGTCTTTCTAAAATGTACTTTACAGTAAGACATGTAAATCACACTAGTTTTCACCCATTGCACTCATTTTCTCTCGGGTCACATAGGTTTTAAACATAATAACAGCGTATTTTCCTGGCTTTGAATACACCTCAAGGTCTCTACATCTCTGAAGCCTTCAAAATATATTAATTTTGCAACCATTCAGCATGCCTAACAGTTTTGGATAACACAGTACCTGTGTAGGCTCTGAATTTAAAACAGCACCTGATGATACATGACAGCTGTAAGCTTAGAAAGTGCATTAATACCACATTTTTATAGCCTTTTTTACATTTTTATGTTCTACATAGTGAAGCAGTATAGCCACACGTTCTGGTGTAAAAGTACATTGGGGTCACAAGTAAATTCATTGCACAATTTTATAGTTTAGATGATCACTTCTTTTTATTATCCAATTTATTTCTGCTATAAATATACACAAGACTGCTCAAATTACTTTAGGTGTGTAAATGCACACTGTAAAAAAAAAAGGCTTTTTTCCCCAGTTTTATTTAAGTGTCACAGACTTTGTGGTACTTGTGTTTTTCAAGCTTATTTGATCTGATAAGGAAAAATCCGTTTAAAATTATGTTATTGAGGCCCGTATTTTTATCACTTCTCTCCCATGATGAATGACTGTCAAACGTTCCATTCACAGCCGTAGCAGCAAAACTTAAGAGGGGTGTTTGATCCAATGAGGTTACAGGTTGTAAACAAGCATGCTTATCTAGAAAGCATTATGCATTGCAACATGAATCTCCACACAGTCTTGTTATAGAATGCAAAGTTGATACATGCATCATATGCGGAGATACTGTCAGATTTTTTGTTTGTGTTTGTTCATACATTAGTCGGCTGTGATGTATGTCTACTGTTGTTCATGTGTTAATTAGGAAGCTGCATATAATGAGGGTGTCTGGCCTAATTCTTCCCCATTTTTCTTAACCCATTAGAGGTGTGGAAACAAGGAGACAAAGTTATTTGTTTTTTGTTTTGCTGACTAGCTACATTGCCACAGGAACAAAGCATCATGAGCACATCCTGATCTGTCACCCACCTCGATTTGTAGCTCTCCAAAAAACACGGCACAAAACAGTTGTGTGTATTAGGGGAGCATGCTGCTGTGTTGGATCTCTTTTTGATTAATTGGGATGGGGAAATTAAAGGCGTGCCAGACTGAACAGTAAGGTGAAGACAGCAGCAGTCTGCGGACGCCAAAGAAGAGAAGAGAGGAGACTCGTGGACTTTAGTTGATCGCAAATCAGGAAGGTATAAAATGTTTTACCACAGTGGCAGAAGAAGAAGCATCCATCTTTATTTTGAGGACAGGCAGTCAGATAATAAACATGTTGAAGGACAAATGTTCACTTGCAACACATAAAAGAGCAAAAAGTCTGAGATTTGAGATACTGTATCTTGATTTTATGTAGCTTTTTGCTCCTTTGCCCTTAACATTTGTTTTAGTTTTTTTGCTTAAAAACATATTTTACTTTTGTTTGTGCTTCCCTTTTGCTCCTTCATTTTTGGCACAGCCTTGGGCGCTGTCTCAGTTTCATTCTCTCACCCTCCGTTTCACTCCATCCATCTTTCTCTCTCTCTTCAGCCAATTAAGCCTAATGGAGCTGTGGCCTAATGACAAGGACCCAAGGGAACAAATACATTTAAACTCGCCTCCAGCCACCAGCAGAGACACATACATGCTAACATCCAACGCCACTGCCTTCCATTTAAAGCTGACTAGATAAATTAGCCAAGGGAGAATGACAGGTTGCAGATTCAAGTTAGAGAAAAACAGCTTTGAGCAGAAATTCAACAAATAATTGTATTTCATTAAGTCATGTTTGTGTTCAGTTTGTTGAAGATTTTTCTTTTGCTCATTATTGTATTATTGAAAATTGTTAGGTCTCTTTTAGAATGAGTGCAAATTCAATATGGCGACCCAAGTGACCCAACTTCTCCGACATGTCGAGCTTCATTAAAATGCTCTATGCCTCTGATATTCTGTGGGTCAGAGTTGACTTGTTGCAGAGGGGTGGAGTACCTTAATAAGTCAATGATGATGGAAAAATATTTCAATGACGTAATGACTGGAAGGTATTAACAGCAATTACTAGCACTTATGGAAAGGGGAACCTCTTTTAATGTGTTTACATTGATTAGTGTAGTGAGTGAGCCCCAGGTATTTGCACTCTTGTAAACACAATGATCATCATCATCATCTCTTTCCTCTTCTTCTCTCCTATTTTCTCAGCTTCTCCCCAGTCATTCATTCTGTTGGCAGTTTAGATGTGCTGTTGTGACACATTAACCAACTGCTGAGCTGTTCTCCATGAATCCCGCTCAGGCAGCTATGCACACACACCGACACACACACTCATATGCACACACACTGGATAAGTGGAGATAAAAACACTTCTGTAGTCACACTCATAGTATTGTGCACACCTCTCAGGTGTCATTGCTGTGATCCCATCCGAAGGTCTCACCTCACTCTGTCATTAGTCCAATCAGCTGTCATTATGTCTCACTAATCACAGTCTCAATGTGTCATCACAGCACGACAGGCCCATCAACAGGGGATGAGGTCATCATTATTCGACTGGGGACTCGCTCATGTTTCTGCAATTAGGTTTCATCTAATCGTGACTTGGACCTCATGTAGCCTGATTACATGCCTGTGTCAATGATGTTTTCGCGTTAAAAGCAGGTCTTTGACCGACTGGTTCATTTCTGGCGGTTGCTAAATGTGTGCTTGTCTTCATGCATTCATTTACCATCTGGTTTTTATGTCGGCTATGTAGTGCAATTAGATCTTCTTTGTTTTGAGTCTCTCTAGCACTTCATCAATATATTCTTTCAAGTCAGTTTGCTTTTTAAAGGAAATACTGTTTTTCTTTGGTGGGAAATCAGTCAGAAACCACTCCTTTTCTTAGGATTTCGCAATTTTGAAAGGTTTGCAATTTTCTCGTGCTGATTTTTTTTTCCTGAAAACCCTTTACAAATGCCAGGTTCAGTAGTTATATTCATGAGGTGACTTTGTCCCACTACTGACAAAATAATCTATTAGCCATCAGTAAAATCCTTTTAAATCAATGATGCAGATTTTCTACTGATTGATTTTCGCTGTTGAACCCCACAGGTATGCGTATCCTGGTGAACCTTCTTCTAGACACCCTACCCATGCTGGGAAATGTATTGCTTCTCTGCTTCTTCGTCTTCTTCATCTTCGGCATCATTGGCGTTCAGCTGTGGGCGGGGCTTCTGCGAAATCGTTGTTATCCAGAGGAGAACTTCACCCTGTAAGTAACAAAAAAGCAAAGTCAGGATCCTCCCTAAAAAAGTTCCTCATCTCTGTGTTTCATTGGTCCATGACATTTTTTCCCCACCTTTTTCGTTCAGTGAAATGATACTGTGTAGTCACCGCCAATCATAAACCCAATTTACATGCCAAATCTTTCTCCCAGTGCCTCAACAGATCCTCCTTTCCTCACTCTTATACCTCATAAAACAACTGTATCAGTAGTTTTTTTTCCCGATTTTACAGCCAAGATAGTGATTGGTTTTCAGATGCATACCCCCATATTTATGACCTCATGTGACAACACCAGCCTCTGTGTCTCGATGGGCTTGTCACAAATTATATTCTACATCAGCTCAACAGCGTTTTATTACATTCTTTGTTCCCATTTTATGCTTGCATCTGCTCATTTGAAAGACACATCTGAGATGCATGCAACGTGATATATATACCATTGGAGCGTGTACTCTTCTGTTTGATGCTTGTGTTTTTTGCAGAGTCAGGTGATACTTATATCCGATCTTATAGACTGTGTGTGGTTGTTTTTCTGCGTGTGCCCCTGTGTTGGACTGGTGACCTATCCAGGGTGTACCCCACATCTCGATCTTGCCAGCTGGAATAGGTTTCAGCCCCGCAAACCCGTTTGGAATAAGCTGTATAGAAAATGGATGGATGGATCAAACGTTTAAACATTTAGGCCTGTTAATGACTAATATAATCAGCTTTAAATTTGGTAGATGTGTCGAAGCAAAAAGGCTATTTTCACATAACTACAATGATTGAGCCCAGCTTCACAAGCCATTCTAATCCAATACGTTTGGTAGTACACACTTCACTCCCACACATTGGCTGATTCATGCAGAATTAGATGAGTGCATTCATCTCGGGGTGAACTGATAGATGTTTCTTATTTATGTCAAGTATTACTTTATGCATTTTTTTCTAAATTGGGATATCGTGCATTCAGGGGGCTCGAGTGCTTAATTAGAAAGGTGTGAGTTTGCACTTGAGGACTATTATGCTGAGTAAAGGCTGTATGTTCAAGAGGTTATAATGGAGTGGGCTGAGTGTTGCTGTCAAGCGAAGCGTTCATTTTACCATTTTGTACCCTCCCTCTTTCTGTGTATTTTTTTCATGATTTATTTATCATCTTTTGTTTCCTTTTCTCCATCCTCTTCTGCGTTTCAACAAGACCAATCCCTTTTTCTATTTCTTAAATATACATATACAATACACGTGTGCATTGATATGAAAATCATTGCATTTTCAAATCCCCATTTCTGTCTCTATCTCTGTATCTTTCCCATTCCCATGATTTTCTAGTTGTCCCATATTGTCAGTTAGTGGAAACTTTCACTTTGTTCCTGCTCCGGTCTTGTCTGGATCCTTCTCTCTGTCTCTCTCCACCATTAGCAGGTGTGTTCTCAGTGTGAGGCCAGGTTTTGCTGTGGCATGCTGTGCAATGCCAAGTCATCAGCAGGAGGGCAACAACCTTTTATTCATGCTTCACTACTCTCATTCTTTCTTTTCTTTTTTCTTTTTTTTTGCACGCTGAGTCTTGAGTTTAACCCCTCTGTCTCTGCTTAGAACTTATGTATTTTCAAATCAGTTTAAATGCTTTAAGATGAACTCTACTGTACGTTTCACAGAGCATACTTTTTAAAACTTTATTTTAAACTTGATTTAGCCACCACAGCACTGTTTGTAAGTTACTGTCTGTAGCGTAACACAATATGACAACTGGTATTGATCATGGTATTGGATTGCATGCATCTATTTTGTGTAGACGTAAGCTGAAGCATTTTCCCCAAATTTCCTGATTAGCTTTCGTTGAATGTAGGGGGGGTCAATGTGAAAATATGGGGAAAAATTGGGAAAATACTAAAAGAGTGATTGCCAAAAAAAAAAAGACTGAAGTGACAGCCTCACTGCAATGAGCATATACTGTAGGTCGAGTGACCCTGAATGTGTGTGTTGAGTAATGGCTCTGCTGATGGAGATGTTCACTAGCCCCAGACCTTTTGTATGAGCATTCAGACCCTGTCCTCATTTACTCCAGTCACGTCACACACACACACACACAAACACACACACACTTTATTAGGCTGTGGTGACGAAATGCAGTGTTTTTATTCTTTACCCAATCTTTCTGATTATTTTTTGTAAATTAAGAACTGACTTGTGATATTTGTGTTTAGTTTTTCTCCATTTCCACCCATTTGCACAGACATGCACAGAGCCATACAAATACACACAAGCCTGGATAGTCAGTGTCTTCAAACAACAGTTTGTGACAACCATCTCTCCTGAAGTCCTGAAAGGACCCTGAAATGAAAGATATTTGAACATGCATAGACTTCAGGACTCTTCTTAGTGTGTCTCCTTTTCACTCATTAAAATCCTACACCTCTGAACATACTGCAACAAAGAAGACGATGTGCTAAGATCATTTTCACCTATGACAGTTCCAGGAAAATGAGGTCCATGTGTTCAACGAGGTAGTCAGGGGACCATCTCAGAACTGTGTCAGTCAAATGCCAGAACTCATTTGTATCTCCTGATTAGTAAAAGCCAGACCAATTCTTTACTTCCTGGAGCAGACTTCACACCGTCACATTAGAGCCTTGAAATGAACGCCGCTGAACTCCCTGTGACAAACTTTCTTCTTCTGTCTTTTTTTGTTTTTGACAGAAATTTAATGCACAAAACCCTTTTTTGGTGGTTTTCCACTGCAAAAAAAACTTGGGTTGGGTAGATTAAAACACTAAATCTAATATGCAGGTTAAAAAAAGTAGAATGATAACAAGTTTCTGTTTTTTTCTATATAAAATAATGCTGAATGTTGTACCTGAGGAATGTCAGAATCCAGATAATATTACTTTCATTCAAGAAAACATTACTGTGTTATCACCATCACTATTAAGGCAATCAGGTTCATCTGGATTTCCTTTAGGATAGATCTTTCTCATTTAAAAATACACTTGCACCTTTGCAACAACTGTTTATTTTTAGTTGCTTCCCTATTCAAATTTATGTATGAATATTAACAACATATTCAACAATGTTACTTTTAATAATGTTAGTTTTAATTGAATATCAATATAGGAGAAAATGTTGAGCATAGCTGATGCAGCCCTGTCGTGGCTCTCTTGTTGTAGAAAACCAAACCAGTTAGATTGGAGAGAATATTCAATGGCGTGTGAGAAATGGACCCGCTCTGCGTTTACGTGCCTCTTTATGTGTAAACAGTAGTGTAAATTACATCTGTATGTTGTCACCAAAGTATGTGTCAGGCAGAAACAAAAAATACAAATTCCAGTGGGTTTCATGCCCATGTACATTATATATAAACAGTTATTATGAAGATGGACTTTAGTATATAAAGGAAGTCCTTACATGTATGAGTTAGAGTGAGGTTGGAGAGGAGAGATGAACTCCATGTGCTTCAGGATCATTTGCACTTTTTTTATTATTCATAACACATCTGAGGATTTTCTTTGTGAATTCATATCTCATATCCATTTCTGGCTTCCTCTTGACTTTTGCTTGTTCACTAAAATGTTAATGAAACCCTAAAATGAATGGTTGGAACAGCATGAAAATCTGTCACTAATGATTTTATGTATTTGGATTCCTTTCCATCTCCAACCATTATTATCTTATCGTATCTCTTCTCAGTTCCTCGGGTATGGCCCTGCCTGCTCCTTACTATCAGCCAGAGGAGGATGATGAGCGCCCCTTCATCTGCTCCCTGGCTTCTGATAATGGTATCATGTCATGTTCTGATGTGCCGGCGAGACGTGAAGGAGGGCGCATTTGCTGTCTCGACAAAGAGGATGCCCTGCACAGACAGTCTCTGGGCTTGAGTCCTGAACCCCTGGCCAATGGCAGTGGGGCCGGGGAAGCAATGGGCCTCTGCATCAACTGGCATCAATATTATACTCGATGCCATACTGGAAACAGTAATCCTCACAAAGGAGCCATCAACTTCGACAACATTGTCTACGCTTGGATAGTCATTTTTCAGGTATTTTACATCTGTGCAAGAAAATGGCCTCAATAGAATCATACAGTATATTTTCAATTCTCCTTTTTATCCCCTCTTAGATTTAAACTTGTGTCAAAAACTGTGTAGCATTTCAAGGAGAAAATATATATATATTTTTTTCCATATTAAAACTGCCGAAAATATGTTGTGATGATCATTTTTAATCTTTCCTCACAGGTGATCACTCTGGAGGGCTGGGTTGAGATAATGTATTATGTGATGGATGCCCACTCTTTCTACAACTTTATCTACTTCATCTTACTCATCATCGTAAGTAATAATGATTTAAACTAACTCCACATTCCTCCCAGCTAAAACAAAAAACACAATCCAGCATATTTGATGATAAAAGAAGGACAATAGAAAATCTCCCATGATATACATGTGGGGTTCAGTAATGTCTTTCTGTCCATACATTTGTCAAGTGGTGAATGAAAGTGTTGATAGATTTGAATAAAACAAACAATCATTTCATGAAAGATACTTTAATCAATGTCTGAAGAGGAAAGAGATTGAGATGTGAGTTACATAAATGTGTTGGTGGTGCTGAGTAAGAAAAAAAGAAAGAAGTAGATAGAATCAAAATACCCAAAGGGAAAAAGTATTGTTTTCACCATGTGTACAAGAGCCTCAACACCTTTTTTTATACAGCGCCAGATGGCATCACTATGAACACCGCTTCGTTCTGCAATCAAATGCACTATAAACAGGATAGAGAATCTCTGAGTTGCAACAGAAGTACAATAAAAATCCCAGATGTTTCACTTTCCAACCAGCAGGAGACATTTAAACAAATAGAGATCAAGCTTGAAAATGAGATCAAGACTGTACTAGCCTGATCCATGAAAAATAGAGACTGTTTTTGTTTGAAATCTTTATTTGATCTTTTAACAAACTATGAAAAAAACAATTATTTTTTAATATTCATAATTTATTACCGTGCCATAAGTAAAAATTATTGTGGTGTAATCTTTTGCCCGCTGTTATCAGGTACATCTATTTAAGTTTTTCCCATTAAATGATGCAAAACATTTAAGAAATCGTATGCTCAGTATCAAATTACCCTGAGGTGATTAATGGTCCATATTAGAAGTAATTTATATTGAACTGGAATCAGGATGTCTGTACTAAGTGCTGGTGGAGGTAGTGTGGAGATACTCTTATATTGCTGAAATGAACATTCCTCAGGCTTTACATTTCATTCACGATTTGGCAAATCTGACCTAAGCTTGATATTCTCAGTGAAATACCTTCCAGAAACTGGCAGACATGGTGCCAAAGGATAACAGTCAAGTGTTGCAGTTCCAGTATCATCGGAAATTTACTACAGAAATAAACTTCACATATCCAATCTTGAAACTGATCTGAAATCCCCTCTGTGATTTTTAAACTTCACGGCAAGACACCTTGTCCTTCTTCAGCGCTTCAATAGAACGGCATCGACAGGATAAAAAAAAGAGGTTCTTAAGCTTCCATGAAAGAGGAATTTTTCCTTAACTCGCCCTCCACAATCCCTCTGGTGTTCAGGGTTAACTTAACTGCACTTCTTGTCTTTCATGTGTCACTTTCATTTTTACCGTGTTGCTTTGTAGCCTGCCAGTTGAGCCTGTTTCTTATGTGTTATGAAACTCGGAGACAAAAAGATGCTTGAGCTCTCCAGCATCAAATGTAGAGTCTCATCTCTGCCTGCTTTAGTCTTGATGCACTGTCAGGAGTGCAGCCTGAAGTCACCTTGAAGAGTGTGACTAAGTAGAAGGAAGTCTTTAAGAGCTAAGTGCTACCAAGAGGGCAATTACCTGGAAGATCCGTGTGTCTGTGTGAATTCCTGAAAGACACACAGACAAAAGAAGAGGATTTGAGCAGCGTACACAGAATATACCTGGCAGCTGTCCCATTGAGGCCCGTACATGCAATAAAGTGTAAAATGGGCTCGCCGTCTCAGTTTGTGAACATGTGAGTGTCTGTGTG